AGGCTAAGGAGGCATGGTCCCAGCCCCAGGAAACCGTGTCTGGACAGCGAATCTGAATGTAGTGTGGGGCACACTTACTCTGGATCTGCAATTGTGCCACTTAGGATGCAGCACTTAGTAACCTTAAACATTTTAAGATAGCTGAACCATGGCAAACATGTTTTTTGACATTTCACGTATTTTACATCTTCCCTGAAGCCATTCTTAATCATCAAGAGTAGGAAATTGTTGTCAGAAATTGGGAGCCCGTGAAGGTAGTGGCGAGAGTTTTGGAGTCAAATTTAGACACTGGCTGAGTGAATTTTGGGGAGTCACTTCAGGTTTCTGAGACTTTGTTTTCTTTATTTAAAACAAACAAGTGCATATATGAGATGGAGAAAAGGCCGCTTTTTGCCCTCTGAACTCTCCAGTTTCTATGTGCACATTTCTCATTAAATAGTCCATCCAGATAGGCTTCTTGTATTTTTATGTACATGTCTCATTTTCTTTTTTTCCAGGACTGGGGATTGAACTCAGGACCTTGTGCTTGCCAGGCAGGCCCAGTGCCACTGAGCTAAATTTCCGGCCTTGTGTCTCATTTTCTTAGATCTAGGCGGGAGCTGTGTCCTGTCCTCCTGGAATATGTAAACAGACTAGTATAGTGCCTGGCACAGAGCACCGGAGTTAGCCCCGAATGAGGAAGCTACATTCATTTCTCCTCCTAAACATGATAAGAAATGACTGGGTCCTGCTCATTGGCCCAGGCTGAGGTGGTAGCGCCACCTCTTGAGATGACAGGTGGACTCCAGGCTCCCCCTGCTGCTGGATGGGGAACCCAGGGCAAGTGATGGATTCTCTCTGAGCCTCAGTTTTTCCTTCTATAAAATGGGGAAAAAGCTGTATGTACCTCAAAGAGTGGTTGTGAAGTTCACAGGACTTAATAGACATACTTTGGGGAATGCTAAGCACATAGCATGTAATAATAAATGGAAACTATTATAGTAGTAGCAGTGGGACAGTCCATTTGCTCAAACGTGGAGGCATATGTCTGACAGTCTTGCTTAAGTAGGGGGAAGCAATTTTTGGAAATGAAAATGTTATTTTTCAGCCTTTTACTAGGGCAAGTCTCTCAGTGATGGCTGAACAGTTGTTTAGACTCCAAGACTGAATCAAGACAGCACCTGTTAGGGCTTGTGTTTAGATGGCCCCCAGAGCCTCGTGTATTTTCAGAGGTGGCTGAATCTAGAGTGTGAGACTGATTCATGGTGGGCTAGGCCCAGGGACATGAGGATTAAGGGTGTGAGTGCTGCCCGCCCACAGTAGTCTGATTAAGGTGAAAGGGGCAGAGAGATGCTGTTAAGGAAGCATGAACTGTGTCTCCTCTGTGAGCCCCGTCTGCCTTGGAGCCAGCTGATTATGGACTGAAACCTCTACAAACTGTGAGCGAAATAAACTTCTTCACCCTTGAACTTTGGGTATCGAGTATTTTGTCTCAGCAATAAGAGAAAAGTAACTAAGACAGCACCATAAGTGCTGAGAAGGATTTCTTACCTTCCCATGTGTGGCTAGGAGTTACATGCCGCTATGAGCCTGGAAAATCTTAAGGGAGTGGGGTCTGCCGGGGAGATGCTTCCCTCTTACAGAGGAAGTCCAATCCTAGAGACTCTCTCAGCTGGTCGACCACATCCCTTACCCCTTTGCATCATAAAACACCTTTTATAAAGTTAAAACTAGGGATTCTTTTCAGGATTATGATGTGTTTAACAGTGGTGCTTTCTGTAGACCCCTAAATACATGTGTCTTAGTAGGGGCATCACTAAGTATGGATTTCAAGAGACCCATATTCTTGGTTCATAAAAGTTGTGCAGTAATTTAGGGGGATTTTGCCCTTCTCAGTTGAAAGGCTCCCCAAGTGTTCTGGTTAGGGTTTAGGAAAGGTTTTACAGGCCACACCCGCATCACTGGCAGCCCCCACCTCAGAATGACGGATCTCCAAACCAGAAAGTGTACGGTGTCTGACACTGCAGGTGTTGAAGAGATCTCAGCGTCCAGGTTAGGAATGTTTCTCAGCTCACACTTGCAGCATGGATTATAAACATAAAATGGGTTCCTGGATGTGCCTATGTTTAGGGGAATACAGCCAGCTCCTACACCTCTGAATTGCCTGATGTTAATTCAAAGGTCAACCTCAAAAACCCAGGAGCAGAGGGTGGTCCACCGAAATGGGGAGTTTGTGCCAGTCAGGAATAGGGGTAGCGATGGCAGTGGAGGGGCAAGGGTCCTGGAGCCCGGCTGAGGTAGGGTAGGTTCTTGGTTTCTGAGTCTCACATTCTGAGTTTATAAAAGTTAGAGAATTGCCTATCCCGGAGAACGAGATCAGCCATGGGTGGCCGGAGCAGCTGGCTCAGCCTCTGCTCCTCATGCCTCCTCTTTACTTCTCCCCGAAGATTCTCCTTCCCCATCTTGTTTCCTCTGGACGTCATCAGGGATCAGGCCCAGTCATGGCCCAGCCAGATGATGTTCTCACAGGGAGTGGGGTATAGTGTGGCAGAAGGGATGGGGACAGGTAGACTCAGGGAGCCTGGGACCTGCTACTTGCAATAATCTTCCACTTTAGCCATGGAGACTTCAGGTGCTGTATGAGCTCACTCTGGGACACTGAATTTTTGGTTCAAATTCAACAAACAATTGGTTTAGACCAGCTTTGGTATGCTTTTAGCTGTTCTCTTCTCACTTACTCAATCCAAACTCCACTTTCTGGCCACACCAAATTTCTTTTGGCTCTCACCTGTGCCATTCCTTGGCCCATACTGTTCTTTCTTGAGCATTTCTTCTCTCCATGTATTTGGCCAACTCCTTCTATGAGCCAGCCCGAGAGTCAGAGAGCCCCTCCTGTGGGGATCCCCTGAGATCCTGGCCAGGTGTCCCCGAGTGAGCTCACACACAAAGCTGTGCTGGGCCCCACCTCAACCGAACTACACTGGCTGGTAGAGGCATGTCTGCTTTCCTCCCTCCTTGGCCCAAATGAGCTCCACGCACAGGAGGACTGTGTCTCCTGTCTTGTCTCATCGTCTCTGGGGCCAAGAACAATGGCTGGCACTCAGTAGGGACTCTGAATGCACCACTGAGTGGAGCAGAACTAAGTTTTCCTACTCTGGGGTGAGAGAAGAAAGCCATCAGGAAGACTTCTATCACGGACAGGAGAACATCAGAGATGGGACAGGGCAAGCTAGCAGCACTTAGGCAGACAGGTGAAATCACTCCATTCCAACAAAGGAGGGGGCTAGATTGGTACATTTTCCAAGGAGCAGGAAAGCGGCCACAGAGAGGAAGAAACTGAGGCAGCCGGGTGGAGGAGTGGCTGGAGCTACTGGTAACAGCAGTGCTCTTCTAGCCCCTCCTACCACCAGCACCCCTGGGGCTGCCTCAGGGCCGTGGAGCAGCCCCTCAGGAAGGCAGGAGGCTTCCGGGCAGGCAGCTCACTAAGCTCCTTTCATGGGCAGTGGAGCTGGTCAAAACGCAGCTGCTAGGGGGTTTCACTTATGTGCCAGGTGCCTCATTTCATTACTGAATAAATGAATCAGTGAGCAACACAGCCAGCTGAAGTTGTCTGAGTTCATGAGCAGATGTGGGGACTCTCAGAGCTCCCTTTAGGGCCTTATAAATCATCCTGGAGCTTCTTACCTTTCTCTCATTATCTGAAAACAGCTTGAGAAGCCCCTCCCTGCTTTCAGAGTGACCTCTGCAGAAGCCCACCTGGGCAGATAGGTCATGCCAGGTTCCCAGCAGCCCTCACAGTCTTCCGGCATCAGCATCCCCAAGCCGGCTGCCTGCAGGGCCTGGGGCAGCCACACACCAAGGGCTCCTGAGGCCTGTCCCCTTATGTGGATGACACGGCCATTAGTAACCATGGCAACCTCCCTTCCCTGGCCGTGGCTCTTCACAGGTCTACATGTACACAGGACTCTTCTAGATCTGGGGATCCAAGCAGAGTGGCACCTTGCTTTAGCCACAAAACAAGGCAAATATGAAGCACTTTCAGGTGCTTTCCGGTGAAGTGAAACAGCCTCACATTTCTGATTCAGTAAGCTGGAATACTTTCACTCAGTACGATGCAAAAAGAAAATACAGTGACATCTCCTTTTGCTGCTTGTTTTTTACAGCAGTGAACACAAAACACTGGGAGGATGAGTTGTTGTTTAACATTTGTGACAGGATTCCAGCAAGGACAGGCCCAAAGGCTAAGAGAGGTAAGGTAAAAACCTCCAGGACGATTTAGAAGTCCTGCCGGAGCGCTGAGGTCACCACATCTGCTAATGCCCACGTAGCCCCAGCGGCAGGGCCGTGCCCTTAGTGAGCTTTGGAAATAAGGATGGGGACCTCTGACCCTCATTTTCCTCCTCTTTTCAAAGAACCTTGAAAAAGAGTCACCTGCCACCAAAACGATGTGGGTGAGGTGATGCATGTGGGAATCTTCCCGTGAGCCATCGCACTCTGCATGTGCACTTCAGAACATCACGTTGCATGTGATGCAGGCTGAGCGTCCCTAATCTGAAGTTTCAAAATCTGAAATGCTCTAAAATTCAAAACTTTTAGAGTGTCAACCACAAATGGACAATTCCACACTGTGAAACTTTGTTTCATGCACAAAATCATTAAAAATATCGTGCAAAATCGAGTTCAGGCTGTGCGTATACACTGTAGGTAAAACATAAATGAATTTCGTGTTTAGACTTGGGTCTCGCCTCCAAGATACCTCATTATGCATACGCAAATATCCGAAAAGATGAGCAAATCTGGAATCTGAAATGCTAGGAGCGGGGAAGCTCAGTGGCGCGTCACGTCATGACGCCTTTGGGCCGTGTGGATGGAGACCAGGGCCACATGCGTGGACGGTTCTTACCGAGTAAAAGAAAGATGCACCACCCGAGTGGACGCCAGCTCACCACCACCTGCGTCAGCCCTGCCGGCAGAGGGGGAACCGGCCTCCTCCCGCTGCCTGGGCGGGCGGGCGGAATTACCTGTCTAGGCCTGGCCAGCCTCGGCGGGCCGCTGTCAGTCGGAGGCAGCCGGCTCCACTGCGCCCTCTGCTGCAGTCTGACTCCAGCCCTCTGACCTGTCCCAGGTGGCATCCTCCTCCCCGACGGTCACCTCCACGAAGTCCACGACGCCGGACTCCTCGTTCTCGTCGCTGCCCTGGCCGTCCCGGCTGCTGCCCTCCGACCTGTCTGAGGTGCCCTCTGAGGGCTTGGCTGGTGAACACTCTTTCGCTTGCTCACTGCCTGCTTTCACCCTGGGGCCCAGCTGCTCCAAGTCCTCTTCGCAGAGAGCTCTGAAGCCCTTGGGACAGTGTGGAACTGCCTCACTTCCGTTCTTTGGGCTCTCGGCAGCTGGTTTCACTGCTTTCCTTGGTGCAGAGTCATAGCCGTGGTCGTCTGCCATGTGGTGTTGCTGGTACTGCTCCACCCACTTTAAGGTTCCAGTTTTTAGCAAGCATCTGTTCTCCTTGAACCACCGCACAATCTCAGTTCGGACCAGGCCTGTCTTGGCCGCTAGCTGGTCGTACTCCTGGGGAGTTGGCCACTGGGTTCTGGTGAATGTGCTCCTCAGGAGATGAACCTGTTCTTGACTCTGTGCAATTGCTGGTGAAGTGCTGGGCAGAGAACTGGCTAACTGGGCACCCGTAAGCTGCTCGAGTCGAGACAGAGAACCATTGGGGGCCGCCGCATCCGGGCCTTTTCTGCCAGACCCCATGGAATCCAAGACAGCCTGTTCCATGCTATCCCGAAGCTTCCGCCTCTCTGAGAACCAGGAGTCGATCTCTCTCCTGCTCAGCTTAGTCTCTACCCTTAGCCGATCCAGTTCTGCTTGGGTAGGAAAAGAGCTTTTCAAAAAGCTGTCTTCCAGGAGTTTCATCTGACCCTGTGTTTTCTCTTTGAACTTCTGGGGGGCAAAGTCTGGGTATGCATGGTATGTGCGGCCATGTCGGGAGGCCGCAATGGCCATCTGGTCTTTGGCAAGGGATTCACTGGTGATGTGGACGATGCCCCTCTGACAGCGGTACCTGTGGTCACTGAACCACTTCTTGATCTCGCTCCTGGCCAGGCCAGTCACCTCGATGAGTCGGTAGACCTCGGCATCGTCGGGGAACTGACTCTGCAGAAAGCTGGCCTTGAGATGAGCAATCTGCAGTTTGGTCTTCTTTCGGTCACCGGCAGGGGCAGGGGGTGGGTTGGCTGCCCTGGGTGGGGGCTCTGGCCCCTGGGCCACATGTGGACGCTTGGGCTCAGGCGCAACTTGGGGAGTCACCGAGGGTCTCTTCTGGCCGTGGCTGGTCACTCCAGCCACAGCGAGCGTGATGGGGGAGCAAGAGACAGTGGTTGGCCCGCTTGTCACCTGCGTCAGCACCAGGCTGGTCTGGCCAAGGATCTGGCACGGCAGAGCTGTCTGGAGGACTGGCTGTGGCACTTTGGCCGGGGCCAGCTGGGCAGGCAGCACAGTGATTGTCGATGGTACCGACTGGATGGTGCCATTGAACATCTTCTTCCGGGCCTCCTCCACCTCCTCTGGGGACCAGCTGATGCCATGCTTTAAGCGCTGGGTGGCGAACCAGATTCGGATATGCTCCTCTGGGTGTTTGGAGGCTGCCGTGAGCCAGGACAACTCAGCCTGGGTCGGGTAAGGGAACTTGTTGAAGGAGTTGATCATGGTGGCGTTTGTGTCCAGGGCAGAGTTGTATTTGGTAGTGTTCAGTGGAACAGGGACCTTGGGGACAAGGTTGATATTTGGTGGCAGCTGTACAGAAGGCATGACGTGTCCTAATGTGTCTTGGAGGAGCTCCACGCCTCCGAGTCTTGAGAGGATCTCAGCTGCGTCTGTCACCAGGCGGGCAGTCCCTTCCACGTAGTTTTCGGGGATGGTCTCCTCGGGCTTCTTGGGCACCTTCTTGGCATCTGTTTTCGGTTTTCCTGTCTTCATGATGGGGGTTTTACTCACTGGGATCCCAGGATCGCTGTCACCACTTCCGGGGCCAGTGCTAGTGACGGATACGACGTGGTCGGTGGCTTCAATGGCCTGCTCCAAGATGGTTTGATTATTGCGCTTGATTAACTTCAGCCTGAAGTTGGTCTCCCCAGGATGGAACTTGGAGTTGTGGTCAGACAAAGAGTCGTACTTTTTGGTTGTGAAGTTACATTCAGCACACACGTAGAGGGGGTTGAGAATCACATTGGGGTGCTGCATGTCCACGTGTTCTGTGAACTCGTTCAGGTTTTGGGTGGAGTAGGGGCAGTATTTGCACTCATAGCCACCTTGAAGTTTTTTGGACTGGTTTTCCCCCATAGATTTCACCTCTATCACTTCATTTTCTTTGGAAGAGCTTTCCGGTTCTGCTGCCCAACTGTCCTTGGCCACGTCGGACTGTGGCATGGCCATTCCTTTTTCTTTGGCCCTGTCTCCCTCCTCTGGCACATCTTGTTCTATCACTTGTGATGTCCGAACCATGCATGGAGTTGTAGATTTTCGTTTGCTTGCCATGCTGCCTGCCTGTGCAATGGCTTATTTGTAGGGGGAGTGAAGGGGGGTAGTGAACTTCTTCCAGGAGACAGGATAAAAGACTTTTGGCTTTATTCCCCCTCAAATGGCTTTGGCTTCCTTTGAATGCTCAAGTCTCTGGTTGGAATTTTCAAAATGATTTCAGCACAGAAAATCACAACTGTTCCAATTGCTAACACACTGGGTAGCGTCATATCTGTGGGACAAGGACAAAGACAGAGTCAGTGCCTCTTCACAGTGCAGAAGAAACAAGCATTTCTTTTTGAGCTGCTCCCATGACCCATCCCAGTGGGCACCCAAATCAAACAGTTCTCTAGGCCCAGGTGCCTGTGAGTGGGTACTTCCAAACACGAAGGTCACCTTCCTTTTCTCCCCTGGGAAGGAAGTGGAAATGGGCCTGCGGCAGCAGGCAAGAATGGCAGGGGGCGTTGCTTCATGTTTTGAGACAGAGATACAGAAAGGGAACACAGGCTCTGGGATCTTCCAGGGGGAGTGGGACAGCGAAGGGGGTGTGGCTGACGGATGGTGCTGCCAGGCTTGCAGGCTGGCTTTTGCTTGTGGCGCATCAGAAGTGAGACAAGTGCTTACCCGGGGCCAGCAAGTGGGGTTCTACTGGCATTGGAAGGGAACATGAACATGGTGCTGCTGACCATAAAAGCAAAACCACTATCGGAAATCCAGTAAATACAGGAAAGTACAAAGGAGAATAAAAACAATCACTCCAAATTTTGTAGTTTCATTTTATTTAACAGCGCCCTGTTTCTATAAATATTGAGCAAAATGATGATTTAGAAAATGGTAGCATGTTATTACATTGTAAGGATGCCATACATAATATATTCAGCCATTCAACTTTTGTTGGATGTTTATTTCCAATTTTTGGCTCTTGTCAACAAAACTGCAGTGAGCACTCTTAGTCCTCATTTCTGAAGCCCTTGGACAAAGGCCTGGAAATGGTCCTCCTGTCGGATAGGACCGCATTTTGGTCTCAACTGGCCCTTTCTCTGGCAGCATGAAAGAGGGCTTGGCTTCATGCCCAGCTTCCATGAACTATTACCTTTGAAAAGGCTTCCCAGAGTCAGGGGTGACGGCACACACCTGGCTAGGCAGGAGGGTCACATATTCGAGGGCACCCCGGACAACTTAGGGAGACTCTGTCTCAAAATAAAAAAATAAAAGGATGGGAATGTAGATCACTGCTTCCAGGGTTCAGTGCCCAGTGCTGTGGGAAAACAAAAGAAAACAAGCAAGCAGACAAGCATTGCCAGTTAGGTAGAGGGAAGCTGTCTAATACGCTTTTCCTGCTTGTTGGTAAAGCTGGATTGTTTTTGAAGATGTACCTGCCACTTACTTCTTTTTGACTTGCCTGCTTGTACTCTTTTTAGATTGTGGTGTTCAGTGGTTTCATTACTAATTTGTGAGTGTTCTTTCTACCTGAAGAATACTAATACTTTACTATATTTGTTGCAAAGCTTTTCCAGTTTATCATTTACCTTTAGTTTTCCATAGGGCATCTTTATATGTTTAATATGTAGAAATTCAATGTTTAGATAGCGATTTTATCATTTTTCTCTTGTGGTTTCCTTCATTCATATTTGGAAATGGATTCTCTGTCTCTAGAGCTGAGACATGTTAACCTATGTTTTCTTACATGTGTTTCAGCTTCATTTTTTTACATTTAGATTGAGTTCACCTTGGGCCCAGCTGAGAGACACAATGCTAACCATTTTCTTGAGTTTCCCACTGTTTCCGCAGCATGTATTACATTACTTTTTCTTTTCTCACTAATTTGTAAGAAAGCACCTGGATCATACAGTAAGGTTTTATATCTGCCAGGGTTGTTTCTGGGTCACCTAATCTGTGCACCTGACCTAGCTGCTGAGTTTTGTACTTAAACCCCACTTTTAAATTTTTTTGAATATTAGAGTACATTTTAGTATCTGGTAGAGTGAGTTCCTCCTTATTACTCTTCTTTTGTGAAACACTTCTTGGTTCTTTTGATCTTTGTTCTCATAAATCAGAATCGACTGCAAAATAAAATCCTATTAGGATTTTGATTGGAATTGCATTAGACAAATGTTAACTTGGGAGCCCCCAACCCCAAGGAGCCTGGAGCATCCTGTGGGTGAGGAGAAAGACCCCACTTGCCTGGCTGAGGATACCAGGGTCTCACCTCACAGGCCAGCAAAGGCGACAATCGAGACTGTCCTTACTGCAGACGAGACGCCAAGGGAGGGGAGAGTTTTGTTCTAGGGCTGCAGTGCGCCCCTTGCACAGAGAGACTCCCTTGGGAACAGGCTGGGAGAGAGTGAGAGCTGACAGAAAACTCCCGAGATGCCCTGAGAAGTCCAAGGTCAGGCCAGGAAGATCACAGGGCCTGGATTTTGTGGTGTGAGGCCAGTCTGGTGGGTGTGACCTTCAGAGGGGCTGCATCTAAAGGAGATGGAATTTAGTCCAGTGGTCCGCTTCAGCTTTTACACCACTGCCTACATCCAGCAGGAACTAGCGGTCTGATTTACTGTAGGTCACTATCTGAGCTGCCTGAGTCTTCACAAAAACCACAGATCTCTTTGCTCCGGCTAAGTGTGGTTCATGAGTGGTTCTTAGGGTTTGCCAGGGTCCCGGTCATATTTGGCCCCACTGCTGTCACTGACTTCAGTGCTATATCCAAGGGGACGTGACTGGTGCTGTCAGTTGGTTTTCTCTGAATGCCAATATCTGGACTGTGGGGATCGTGAACAATGCTGAGGCTCAGGCCTGGAGAGCCTGGCACTGGGCCAAGGGAGCTGCAAACCCCAGCACAGAAAACAAATAAATAGAAACATGAGAAAACAAGTCAACGAAATTTCTCCAGAAACTTCTAGTTCCCCAAAGCTGATCCAGGGAGCACTGAGGGGGAAGGAATCATGTCACAGCAGAGATATCTGGCAGGGTGTATCAGTGGAGGTAACGTGACAGTTCAATAAGGTGCTTGGTGGTTTCAAAGAAGACAGAATTAAACAGAGAACGAGCCTAATGTAGGAAATGATCAGGGAGTCTAGAGAAGACACCAATGAACAGTCAGTGGAGCGGAAGAAAGAGATGCAAAGCACGAATACCCAGCATAGAGAAGAGTGAGAGTCCAAAACCCCAGTTCCAAACAGAAGCCCAAGAGATTAAAAACTTCAGGGAAAGTCAGAAACAACCAATGTGAGGGCAGTGTGCATTCTAGAAGGCAAGTTAGTGATCAATTAATGAAAAACAACAAGAGAACATGAAGACCATCCAACAGTTTTTAGAGGACTCAAAGAAGACTAATATAGGAATAATTGTATTAAATGAAAAATCAGAAGATAGCAAAAAGGGCGTAAAACAAATCTGTTTCCAGAAAACTTCCAGACATGGAGAAAGAATTTAACATACATATCAGGGAGGCACATAGAGTCCCAAAGAGCCATGATGAGGAAAACAAAACAAAACAAAACACTCCATGCCACGTAATAATTAAAATGTCAGAAATCCAACATGGGAACAGAATCTTGAAAGCAGTTAGAGAAAAGCAGCAAAGCCTGGGGGTGTTAACAGAGCTGAGCAGGGAGCTGACAGGCGGGGTGGCTGGAGATGCAAGGGCTTTTCACTTTGTGGCCAAAGGAGGAGGGAGGTGTTTTGAGTCAAGGATACCTGACATTCCTGAAAGGGAGCGGAGGACATGACATGCCATCTCCCACCTGCCTGGGTCTGAGTCCACTGAGGAGGACTCAGAGGCAGAACTGACTTTCTTGAGCAGCTCGGTGGGACCCTGGGCCCACCTGTACCTGCTCAGGGGCTCAGGTGACAATCTGAGTGCAGCCAGAGAGCATTCCTTGCATTAGGCCCAGAGCTGGCCCCTCTAGGACCGAAGTGCTGGCGTTCTCAGGCTGGGCCAGTCAGTCAGCAGTGGGATGCAGTGGAGGAGGAGGACATAGGAAAAGCGGAGCAGAGGGCCACTGTCTTGGTGTTTGGTGCAGCCACCCGCATCTGACTCCCGCTTCCATCTCCCCATGAACGGATACTCTCCATTCCCTTCTCCAGCACTCTGTCCCCAGCTCCTCTCCATCAGCTGCTCCACCACTATCCCCCAGCCCAAAGCCCCTGAAATGCAGAACCCACTGAGGCGGCCCATCGGCAATCCCGCTGACTCTTCCCTCAGACGAAGCCAGCGTTGGACCCCTCCGCACTGCTGCCACCCCAGCTCCTTGTCCAGGCCCCCATAAACTCCTGCCTGTTTCCTACCATGGCTGCCCATGGGCCTCTGGTCTCTTCTCTCGGAGCCATGGAGAGATGTTTTCTGATGAGACTGGTCCGCGTGCCATTCATGCATGGAGCCCACCAGGGCAAGTCCATCCCTCCTAGCAGCCCACATGCCTGGCGTCCTGGCCCCTGTACTCTCTCTCCTTTGCTCCTGTCCTCCAGCTGCTGCCAGCACTGCTTTCATCACAGGCCTCAGCCAGCACATTCCAGCAGAGCTCCTCCCAGGCAGGCCTGTCCCAACCACTGCCCTTCTGCAAGGACATTGGCCCGGCCATTCTCTAGCTCCTCCTCTGTTTTGCTTTTCCCAGAGCATGTTCATAGCTAACATTCTGATATCTGTTTGTGTCTAAAGGAGGAGGGGACATCTCTTCACTTCTTTACTCCTTGTCCCCCCCCCGCCCCGCCCCGAGCTGTGCTGCCCACTGTGGCACCCGCCAGCCACATGTGGGTTTGAGTTTAAATGAATTAAAATGAAATCACAGATACAGGTTCTTGGTCACGCTAGCCACGTTTCTGATGCTCAATAGCCAAATGTGCGAGGCACTATTACACTGAGCAGAGTGAGACATCTTCATCTTTGTAGGAAGCTCTGGTGGACAATGCTGAGCTAGAATAGGAACTCTGCAGGGAAGGAAGCTTTCACAGCAGCTTCTCCAGAGCTCAGACAGAGATGGCCCACAGGACACACACACTGCTTCTCATAGCAGTGTCTCCACCTGGAGTTACCTACAGGTGGGGTGCAGCTCACAGAGCATGGTGACGTACAGTAAAAATCCCTTTTGAATGCTTAGAGGTGTGTGCGATTATGTGAGCAGAGGAGTGCTGTAAGGGGGAAGACCCTAAGGTTCTGTATGAGCTACTACTGCTGCAGCAGGATGTGGCTAAATACGCACCTACTGGCCAAGGGGTCTGGAGCATTTGAAAGGA